AATTGCTCGAAGGCTGTTGGTATAATCCGACAAATTCAGCTCTTTAAGAAAATTATTAAATCTAATTTTACGATTTTCGTTTTGTGATAACCGCTGTAAGGTAAAAAGGAGCGGCATAAATAACACCCCTGCAGCCTTTGCGCCGTACGGTCAATGTAGAATATATTTAAAGCACATAACTAACGTGATAAAATATCCTTTAGCACTAGGTAATAGCAATCTGAAGCTCAAGTGTTTATTTATGTTTATACATCGAAAGAATGTCACGTAGAAATTAGTTTGATATGAATGAGTTTGTCTTCTCAAAATACAGGACTAAAATTATTAAACCACAATCGAACAAAATGTCTTGAATATTATAATTCTTATTTTATCATTATTATTAGACGTGTTTTTGACCAATGAAAAATGTATATTGGCGTCATCAACATGTATAATACTAGTCACAGCACAAAAGAAAAGTAGTCGTAGCTTATTAGCGAAGAAACTGAAAGCGGATTCGTACATTTGAAAAATTGAAATATCGAAGAACTGAAATGAAAAATATAGAAATCGAAGAACGAAAAATCGAAACTCCAAAAATTAAAATATCAAAAATTGAAAAATCGAAAAAAATCGACACATCGAAAAAAATTAGAAGCCAAAAATCGAAAAGTCGAAGAATATTGAAAAAAATTCCAAAACTGAAAAATGAAAGAAAAACTGACGAATGGAAAAACTGAAATATCCAAAAAGTCAGAATCTAAAAAATTAAAAATTGAGAAATCGAGAAATCAGAAAAGTGAGGTCAAAATATCGAAACCTCAAAAAAAATCGAAAAAGTGAAAAATCAAAAACCTTAAAAATCGACAAATTGAACAACTGGAAAATCGAAACAGTCGAAAATCAATAAATGGGAAAATGAAAACATCGATTAATTGAAATATCGAAAAATTGAGAATGTAGAAAAGTCAAAATTGAAAAATTGAAAAATCGAAATATTTAAAAATCGCAAAAATGAAGAGGAGAAAAACTGGAAAAACGTAATATTGAAACATCGGAAAATTGAGAAATCAATTGAAATTGTAAAATCGAAAAATTGAATAATAAACTGAAAAATCCCAAAACTGAAATTTCGAAAAATTGTAAAATGAAACAAAATGTGAAAAATCCCAAAACTGAAATGTCCAAAAACTGAGAAATTAAAAAATTGAAAAATTGAGAAATCGAAAAATTAAAAACCTGAGAAATCGTAAAAATTAAAGAATTGAAAAACTGAAAAATTGAAACAGCCGAAAGTCAAGAAATGGGAAAACATCAGTTAATTGAAAAATCGAAAAATTGAGAATAAAAAAGACAAAAATTGAAAAACCGAACAATTAAAAAAACGAAAAACTAACATCGGAAAATTCAGAAATCGAAAAACTGAAAATCGAGAAATTGAAAAATTGAGAAACTATAATTCAAAAATTGAATAATAAATAAACTGAAAAATCCTAAAACTAAAATTTCGAAAACCTGAGAATTCGAAAGTTGTAAAAACCACAAATCGAAAAGCCGAATAATCGAAAAATCTCAATGTAGAGGATAAAAATTCAACGCCGATTCTTAAACCACAAGTTCAAGACTATGTTACTTTTTAACATTTAAAGCATTAGTTGTTTTAAATTTCATTTTGTGAAAAGAAGTCTACACATATTAAAACAAAAAAGCAAAATATACTCGCATACTTGTGTATACGAGTATATTTTTGTATAACATTCACGTTTTAAAATACAATTCATTGAAATGACGTCATCAAATTGTTGGTGGGGATGATTATCCAAATTTTAAGTGGCATTTAACCATCTACATGATATTTTTAATATGCATACAAAATTTGACAACAATCGATCCAGCAGTTTCGGAAATTACGTGTCCAATAAAAATGGATACGGACAGACAGACAGACAGACAGACAGAAACAGGAGACTACTTTTTTGGTGCTGTAAGGGTCATGAAACGTCGAGAAAACATAAAAGTGGCATTTCGTCGGACGGACTCAATTACTGTACTTCTTTAGCTTACGCTCGGGAAGTAAAAATCAGTACTACGGTCCATAATTTTATTGCTTCAAAATGTTCTAAAGCCGGCCAAATTTAATTATAGAGGGTGATTAAATCTGTATATTATTGTTTTTTCAAATAGAACACCTTAGAGACAGGTGTAAAAATGATTTGAAAAATATGAGAAAACTGAAAATTTGCTATTTTCATTATTCTGTATAAATACATAGATACATTCAAAACAGTCTTGTGCAAAATTTCAAAGCTCCATCTTTAAAAATGGTGGAGTCGTGATTTTTATTTTGACTACTTTTTTTTATATAAAATTGCAAACATCTTGAAATTTGTTAATAAAAATTCTTGTATAGATATCGCTTTTTCATTCTTTCATAAAAAAGAATCAAAAGACATAAAATAATGTTTAAAAAAATACAACTTTGAACTTTTAAATGGAACACAGTGTATGGTGATACTTTTGAAGTAATTTTATCGTTCGATGTTCGTAACGAGAACAGAGGAAACGAAATTAACCGACTGTTTATTGACTGCAATAAGAAATAAGAAAGAACAAATAAGGAAATAAAGAATCAATCGTCATTAGAGAGGCTTTCGGGCAAAATTTAGGGTTTCAGGTCTCAGATCGAAGCGAATTAAGATTATAAACTGAATTGAAATGCGTACAAGGAATTTTAAATGCAGGGATTTTTTAAATGCGCTTAGTAATAAAAAAATCAGTGAACAACAGCGTAGTTGTTGAAACGTGCCAATAGAACATGAAAAAAGTTGCATTTTTAAATACGATTATGCTTTCGTGTTATTTCTGAAAATATTCTTTGTAATTTTTATCTCTTGTCACGTGGAAACCTTTAATTCATTCTCGGAGCACAATCTTGTTGATCGTGGCAGATGTCATCTCCAGTTCATAAGCAATGCTTTTTACTTTTATGGGTACAGAGGTTTTATTAAATCTTTTAAATGTGTAGTTAACGTCGCGGTTGCTTCGGTTGCAATTTCAGGAGATTAGCTATCAGATGAGATAATTTTGATGAACGAGGGTTGCAGTTCTCTTATCGTCCGATTTGTTATAATTCTCCAATAACTTAGAATCCTAAGTGAGAACTATGTGCGTACAAGGCGCAATCAATAAATTCGGGTTTAGTCCAACACGGAACGTGACAATACGCACCTTCCCTAAGCCGAACCACAAGAACGGATGCCAGGCGTGTCATTTTCGAGTTGCTTAAATCGTATATCATGTAAATGCGGACAGATCGCTGTTACATGTAAATCATCCGGAAACGAATCTCTGCTTATAGATGCATGAAAATTTGGCGCCATAGAGGCAGCCCTAGCCCCGTAAGAAATTCCACTGAAGATTGATGTTGTATCCGGAAATAATCTCAGTTCGACCGGATAGCAATTGTTTCCTCTTAACGACTCCCATTCGTATACGCAAGTGAAAAAGGAAGGAGAAATTGTAATTTCAGCTTGAACTGTCATATGGGTAAAGTTTATTTTGAGTATCAATCATTTTTCATGAATTTGCATTCAAATCGCGGATATAATTTTGTTTGCTGAATATTATATTAAAAATGAATAATGGTGCTCCAATCCATCATAAAAATGATTCGATCGGAATTTGTTTTAGTAGTTGTTTTAGTCAAAGGGGTTAGAAATTTAGGTCGAGGAATTGTTAATTAAGTCTTGGGAGATTGGGTTAATATCGTTGTCTTTATAGTCTACAATCAATAATGAATTAGAAGTCTAGAGATCAGTTAAAAGCTAACTTACACATCATAATTGAGTTTGGTTGCAGACAAAAGCTTTTACTTTGTAAGGTTTCTGCAAGCTGACGAGAAGAAGTAATTGTGTAATGCGTTTAATCCCATGGGCGAAAAATATCAATTTACAATCCAACTTTGAGGGTCCAAGTAATTTCCGAAGAAAACTTAAGTGGAAATTAAACGCAGGTTCCAGGTGCAAACGTAAACCAATGCGTTGTGTGAAATTCCTTCGATTTAATTCGTATTAGGAGATGAATCCGAATCAATACAGCGTTTGACAGACTCAAATTGATTTCATGCTCTTCATTAATTTCGATGTATTGTGGTTAATCGAGAGGTTAATGTTGGAAAACTTGTGGATCATCAACATACTATTCAGAAATTTGGTGGATGCGCCGGGATTTTCCACTCGTCGATCACATTCGCTCTACTTTATCACACGACATACTTTTTTTTGTTTTTTAAAAAATAACAATCCTTCTGTTTAGTTGCTGCATCCGAAATAACAACATCAAGTGTAATGGAGTAAAAAGCTGTTGCAACGTCACTTACTGAACTTTATATTGAGATTAATGAGCGCCTGAAGAGGAGAGGATCTTACCATTTGGAAAAATCGCATCGCTGATCCCCGTTCTAGTTTATACTTCCTTATACTTCCTTCTCAGATTTTTATTTTTTCCGTTCGTTAGTTTTATTGGGCGAAAATTTACGAAGATACCGCTGATAAACTCAACAATGGATGTCATCAAATTGTAATATCGCGATATAACTAGCCGTGCTGCTGACAGTTTATTGATTCTTGCGACCACATAATCTAACAGTTCCGTTTTTCCACTAACTCGATGCACAAATAAAACCCACAACGCACTTTATTTTATTTTCTGCTAGAAAAATCCGACTCCATTAACGAGTTCGGTCGACCGAATTTGACTGCAAAGTTTGAAAGCTGCATCTCTTCCTCCTTATTCAGGTTCGGCTCGTTTATATTGTGATGATTTCAAGAGAGAGATGCAATAAAGGGAAATCGATGAAATACTTTAATAATTAAATTTCAGAAGTTCGGGCGAAATTCCTAGTTGCTCGCAAAGTCATTTATCTTGAATCATTAAAAGAATATCGATCGGAATTACTATTTCACGAAGTGAAAGCGCTTGTTTCCAACAGCCTAAATTATTATTCGTTCTGATTTCAGCATGTCAAGGTCTCGCATTAAAGAAGTTCGTCTTCATGGAGGTCCAAGTTTGGGAGAACTCTTGACGGCGCGTCCCTCGGGCCTCACCGAGCCCGAGTGTTGGGCTATTTTGTGTCAAGCTGTTCAAGCGCTGCAAGATTTATTCTTATCTGGTAAGCCCAATTTGTTTTGTTTTACCTATCTGATTTAATATGTACTTTCGTGTAAGCGTTGTGCTAGTTCGACCCCAATTACGCGAGCTTGCGATATTCCTCGGAGCGAGAATGTGGAATCGCACTTGAAATAGCAACTCTGTAAACACTGAGGATATTGCGACTGTGTTTCTTTGAATTTGGTTGGTATTTGGTGTCACGGTGCCGTTGATTAAAATGCAAGTTGTAATTAAGTTTTGAAAAGGTTGGCGCTGGCGAACTTAAAAAAATTTCTATACACAATTGTTACCTAGAATATTCGTGTAGATGGCGAACCCATAATTTGTCAGTGGTTTATGAATCGGCCTTTATTTTTGAATTTAGACTGGAGCGAAAATTGGGAAGCTCGTGTGACATGAATTTGAAGTATTAACCAATCTAATTCAAATTTTAATGATCATACGGTGGAATAAAAATACGATGTTTGAATTTTAAGACGCATAATTCTATTGTAACTCAGTACAAACACAATAATGACGTTGTCATTAGGTAACTTCAAAGAAATTTTAAATTTGAGTTTGTTATTTTATACATAATAGGATTACTCGCGCCCACTGAAATTTCCTTGTCAGTGAGCCCGAATGCAACCGAAAAGAGAATTATTTCATTACGTAATTAAAAAGATAATTATTGAAAAAAAATATATATTAAGAGAAATTCTGTGTAAAATAATATCACACAATTTTTTTCAGCTGAATTCAGTACAAGTCTGAAACAAGCTCGAATCGATTCTTAGAGAGCAACGACAAATATGGATCAGATTGCTTCCTTATTATAATAAAGCCATTAAATATATTAAAATTGTAGGCATGTTTGTTTCATGTTAAAGTTAGAGCACTGGAATTGACGTGTTGAAAATGGAAACGTTTTCTGTTACTTATACTCATTTCATATGACAAGTACGAAAGAATATATAAAAATTATAATGCTTTCTCGACGTTTCATGAGTTCTAGAGTATGTTTCCGTCTATCTGTCGTGTAAAGCGTAATTGGTCTGACCATCCCCACAAACAATTTAATTAGGTGACGTCATCTCAAAAGTTTACTACTTAAATTTGATAAAATGACTCTACTGTACCTTGCACATCCAGATTTAAAGAAAAAAATCATCTGATAGTTTGATTGATAAGCGTAGGATTTTTTGACAACTTTTTGAAAAGCAAAATTTTTTAAAATTTAACTAGACATTTTCTTGTAGATTTCGACCTCCAGGAGTTAATTTCGGGCTCATTTTTTCGATACTTCCTATCATTTTTCCAAAATTGTTTGGATAAAACAACAAATCAAACCGAATATTTTTAAATCTGGCACCGGAAACATAAACAAGCTGTGTTTTTGGAATTATGACCATGAAATCTATATCTCAGAGCGTTTTGGGAATTTTTTGGTAACCTTTTCAAGACAAAAATATATACGAAAATTCGTGTCAATTTTCGACAATTTTCGAAATTTAAGTAAAGATATTTTCTTATAGATTTCGACCTCCAGCAGTTAGTTTTAGCCTCATTTCTGCGAAATCTCCTACGATTTTTCCAGAATCGTCCGCTGAATTATTGCAATTTTTTGAATAAAATAATATATAATCTATATTTTCAAGCCGAATATTTTTAAATCTTGCAATGAGAGAATAAAAAGTCCAAAACCTATGTTTTGGAATCAGCACGACGAAAATCTCGGAATTTTTTGAGAATTTTTTGAAAAGCAAAATTTTTTAAAACTTACTACGAAAATGTTGGTCAATTTTCGACAATTTTGTAAGTTTAGCCAAAGATATTTTTTTATAAATTTCGACCCTCCGAAATTAGTTTCGGCCTCATTTCTTTGATTGTTGAAATCATTTTTCTAAAAATTGCAATTTTGCGGATTAAAAGAAAATATTTGCAAACTGAATATTTTTAAATCTTGCACTGGGAGCTATGTTTTTGGAATCAGCACGATGAAATTTATATTGCAGATTTTTTGGAGAATTTTTGATAGGAAAATCCTTCGATAGTATCAAAATTTCGTCAATTTTCGACAATTTTGGAAATTCAACTACAGACATTTTCTTTTTCCAGAAGTTAATTCGGCCTCATTTTTTCGATAGTTCGTACCGTTTGTCCATAATTAAAGATTACAATTTATTGGATTAATTTCTTCTTTCAGACTGTCTGAAACTCTACAGTGAATTGTACAGTGAATTGTTGGGCAAGTTTCAAAAGCAAAATTTTGAAATCCCACTTTACGAAAAAAAAGTAAAATTTCAACAATTTTCGAAATTTAACTAAAAATATTTTCTTATAGATTTCGACGTCTAGAAGTTAGGTTCGCCAACATTTCTTTCGTAGCATTTTTACAGAATAGGCCACTGGAATACTTGCGATTTTTTGGATTAAAATTTTTTTTTCAAACCGAATGTTTTTAAATATTGCACCAGGACCATAAACAAGCTATGTTTTTGGAATCAGCACAACGAAATTTATATCCGAGAATTTTATGGGAATTTTTTGGCAACTTTTTAGAAGCAACATTTTCAATACTGTGAGAATTTCGATCAATTTTGGAAAACTTTCGAAATTTAGCTAAAGACATTTTCATATAGATTTCGATATCCAGAAGTTAATTTCTTCGATAGTTCGATAGCGGCTTTATAGCTTTGATAAATAAAATACATATTTCAAATATACATCTTGAAAATTGCCATTTTTCATTTTATCAGTTCTGGAAAAATTATTGGAATTTTTGAAGCCCAAAGTTGTAATCTACAAGAACCAGTTGAAATATACAAGAAAATGTCTTTGAGTAATTTCCGACTCATGCTTGCAAAACGCCGAAAAACTTTATACGGTGAAAATTGAAAATTTGAGATTTTTGAAAAGTTGCTTAAAAATACTCAACAAAATTTCGGCATATAAATCTCGACAGCTTATTTAAAAACCAGAAAGTATTAATTTTCTAAGACAAGGCTGATTTTGGCAAAAGATATACCCTGTAAGAAAATAGAGGGCGGGTGGGCGGGGATAGTACTTGTAAAGATAAGACTGAACAATATTAAGAGCAGTCCTAGAATGAAAAGAGGATGGGTGAGTGGAGCTACTGGTCGCTTGCAAGACTGTAAAAAAGAATTTCACTGAGCCCCACCCACCCACCCCTATTCCGTTTTGATCACCCATTTTATTGGCTGTGAGACGGAAGTTCAAATGCTATTGCTTGCTTATAAACGACCTTGTAAGAAAAAGATAAACTTAGCCCCGCCCACCCACCCGTTTTCTCAGTTTCTTTCTTAAATAAAAAATACTTCTTACAGCGCTTAGTAAGAAAAAGTAACGGTTAGCGCTTTTTTGTTTCTTTTTTAAGAGTCTAGGTTCTATTAGTTCCCATTCCCAGTATACAGAATTATTAATATAAAATAATTAACCCCGCCCACCCACCATTCTTTTTTTCATTTATTCATTTAATGCGGTCAGAATGAAAAGTGAATATTATGATGAACAGAAACAAAATCGTTAAAATGAGAACAGCGTGGTTGGGCGGGGCCAATACCTGATTTTGGCAAATGGCATATCCTTTAAGAAAATAAAAGGTGGGCGGGCGGGGCTAGTACATGCTAAGATAGACTGAACCATATTAGGAGTAGTCCTAGAATGAAGAGAGGATGGGTGAGTGGAGATACTGGTCGCTCATAAGACGGAAGTTCAAATGCTATTGCTTGATTATAAAAGACTTTGTAAGAAAAAGTTAAACTAAAATTTTCGAAAAGTTTGGCTTGATAATGAATCTTTTTTACTCGGAAATTGAAATTTTTTCATTTGATCGATTCTGGTAAAATTGTTGCAATTTTCGTAGAATTGGAACCGAAAATAACTTCTACAAATAAAATTCATAAAAAATACCCTTGGCTAATTTTCCAAATGTTCGAAGGACAAAAAATACAAGTACTACAACGGACACGGGACAAAAACTGACAGTTGACTTATCTTACCGAAATACATATGTGTGCAAAAAATTATTAAAATCTTCTTACTATTACTGTATAATATTAGTGTATATCCCAGAATTTTTTAGAATTTTTTTGACAAGTTTTTCAGTAACAAAATTTTTCAATACAATGAAAATTTCAACCAATTTTCCACAATTTAACCGAAGACATGTTCTTCTAGATTTCGACAACCAAAAGTTGGTTTCGTCCTCGTTTTTTCAATAGTCCCCACAATTTTTCCAAAATATTGCAGTTTTTTGGTTTTTTAACCTTATTCACTAATTACTAATCAAAATTAATTCTGTTTATCCCCTCCAGAAACTCGATAACGTCATCTGAAGATTTTGCTGATGTTAAATTTATCGTATCCGAATTTTATTTATCCGCCAGCTCCAAAACTTGATGACGTCATATCAACATTATGCTCAGTGGTAGCTGATGTAGTGAATTACTAAGGTTTTAAAGGAATTCGTTACGTATCTTCTAGTAACATAAATTGTAAAATTTTATTGTACAATTTTGATTTTTGCTTCCCGAATGTAAGCTAAGTCCATTCGTTGAACAACTACTTTATTGTTTTCTCGAGTTTCATGAAACTGTTGGATCGATTGTATTCAAATTTTATATGCATTTTTGCATTGTAGTGTACATGGTAAAACGCTGACGAAAATTTGGTAATGTTATCTCAGTTTTGCATGGTAAACGCTATTTGAAATTTGTGAAATAACATAATGTGTGTAGTTTATGAAATTCGCAGTGATTTGTTACCCTAGGCGTCTAGATTTTCTGAAAAAATATCAAAATCAAATCGTGGTTTATCAATCATTTTAGAACTTATTATACAAGGTGACTCAAAAAAATTAATTAAGCAGTTTATTTTATAGATTCAGTCAAAAACGACTTAACTTATTTTCCCGAGATTTTCGTTAACAATACACACTTATCTGTATTTTAAGTTACAGGGGTTATAAATAAAAATAAAATTTAGAAAACTAGTTTTATC